ATGATATGTTAAATCAGTCTATGTTATATATTATATATTATATATGTTATATATTATATATCAAATTATAAATATTATATGTATGAATGAAAAGAAATATATAATATCATTATGATAATTGACATATTCATTTCAACTTTAATTTGTAAAATTTCAGAAATATTTTTTTTTCATATTTACGTATAAAATACAATATATAAATCGATACTTGAGTAAATAATTAAAACGCTATATTTTAGAATTAAATTTATGAAAACTTAAATTTATTATAAAAGGATCTATTTAGATTGTTTTTTTTTAAAAAATTATAGATTTTGATTTTAATCTTTATTGATTGTTAATATCTAAGGAACAAATAAAAATAAAATTTTATTCTTTTATTTGAAATTTTATTTCAATATTCAATATAAATTATAATAATTATCTTTAATGCATTTTCTTACTTGTTTAATTTATTTTATTTAATATATTCAGAAAATAAATGACTTCTTTATTTATAAATTTTAGATTTATAGTTCATTATACTATTAAGATTAATACAATAGAATATAATAATTATAAAATAGTAAACTTTGATTTGAAGATAAATTTGCATTACTAATTGAAAAGTTATATTATTTTATTTTTATTATATGAAACATTTGATTAATAAAGAAAACTATATTTACCACAATATATATTATAATAAATTTTCCTTTTAACATATTCCTTTACATATATATATATGTAAAAACATATATTAAAATTAACATATATATAAAACATATATTTTAAATAAATAACCATAAATTAAAGTATTAATTTTTATATATTTTCAACATGTATGTAGATAATATAAACTAACTTTTTTATATAAAAATTATAAAAAATTAAATAATATTTTATATAAAAAAATTTATATAAAATAAATTGATAAAACTAATAAAAAAATGTAAGAAAAGATTCAAAATAAAAGCTGAAGGAATATTATAATTAAAAGTTCTTTATTTAATACATACATATTTCATCAATGAATAAGAAACAATATAGTAATATTATTGAGCTTAATCTCAAAATCCTTAACTGATTATTTATAAAATCTATTAATAAATATAAGTAAAATAGTATATATATATATATATTTATATAAAGAATATAATTTTTTATATATATATATATATTTATATAAAGAATATAATTTTTTAATACAAAAATTCATTTCAATTCTTATACAACATTAATTATATTTTTAAGAATTACCTTCTATCACATTACATTCAATATAAATTTTCATACATAATTTATATACAATACATATAATTACTTTCAAAATACTCACTTTCTTTTTTATTGTAATGATAGTTTTGTATAAATAATATTATATTAACGAATAACTATAAATTTAATCGCGAAAAACATACGAAATATATTGACTAATAAAATTTCTTGCACTACAATTTATAAACTAGCATACATCAATATTTTTCGTGACCATTCGAAAAATTTCGAGTACTTTCGCAAAATTAATTTAAAAAGTACTACCTGAAAATTATAGTGTAAAATATTATGATTATTTTTTTTTTGATTTTTTGATTTTGATTGAAAGATAAATGTTTATATTAAAGGTATTATGAATTATATTTATTTCTATATATTCTATATATATTCTATATATTTTATATATTATATTATATTATATTATATTATATTATATTATATATTATATAATATATATTCTATATATTTTATATTAATTTGAATCTCTTATCTATATTTTTATATATCAACAATTATAATCTGTTATTTTTATTGTGTTTTTTATGGTTAATTGTTACTTTTCGCAATTATAGATTTTTATATAATTTTTAATCTCTTTAATATAATTTATATTTCTTTTTTTTCTTTTTTCTTCATTACTTATTAAAATTCTATTTAAAGTATGAATATATTATTCTAAAATTATAAATATTTGTGACTTTTCTAGCAAATTAGTTTTATGAAATATATAGATATAGTATCAATTAAACAAAAATTAAGTTAATTTCATCAATAACAAATTATTCTTACTTCTTTCATATTTTCAATATCTTGACCATTATTTAAAATTTTTGAATTATTTTTCTAAAAAACATCAAATTGCTATATTATTTATTTATTGATAAAAATATTCAATTTTAATAAAAAATTAATAATTTATAAATAATGATTAATTAATATTTTCAATCTATAATAAATGAATGATCATTAATATTTATAAATATAGTAAAACATCGATTATTATATAATATTTCATTATTCAAATATTCAATTCAAATAATTTATAAAATGAATCATATATGTATGTATAATTAATATATGTATAATTATAATATACACTGTTTATATATATACTTATATATATATTGTAATTATAATTATATACTGTTTCTAGTATCCTAGATTGATATAAAACGATTAATTTAATTTTTATATTAATATATTCTCTTATTAAATGTTTTCCTATTTAATAAACATCCATATTTAAAAAGTATTTATTAATATTTGAAAATTACTTTAAAAAAATTTAAAATTTTTTTAATTGTTTTTATTCATAAAATTAATTCTTCTTAATTGATTATTCGAATAAATTTGTTTCATCAATCAATTAAATCAATTATTGAACGATTTATTGCTCTCATAATAAGAATAAGAATCAATTAATTTTATCAATAATATGCATTATCCAATATGTATCTTGTGCTCTTAAGATTATTTTCGAAACTACGTTTGATAAGGAATTTTACAATGGTGAAGAGGTACAATCTCGTAGCCGTCTGCATTTGATTGTACACACGGCAGGAATAAATTTCAATTACATCTTTCCGGGAACGAGAGCCACTTTCCAAAAACAATTTCGAACACCATTACGACATCCCTCGAGCACACCCGGTAACCCCTTTTCTATTAATACAAGCGTTTCTCGAGATCCTCTGTAGTACGCCTCTGCGACTTCGCGAGATTTGGAATATTGTAAGGAAAATGCAAATATCGTTCCGAAGTTTGGCTAAGGAGATAGAAGACGCGTATGCGCCGCCTATACGTGTCTCTCCGGCCGTGGTCGTGGAGGTATCCGGCTTGTTTGTATTCCGTATTCGGCCTGTCTATAGGGAAATTGCGGTGTTCTCGACCGTCGAAATCCATGAACACACCCCTGCCCTCTGATCGTCTTCGTTTGCTCCGTGTGCTGCCGTCTCATTAACCCTTTCGATTTGACCGGAGGACTTACTCTTGACTAACAGGCTCAATCTGCGTGGCTGTAGTAAATTGCTCGCTAAATTAAATTAGTCGCTTCAAAAACTTGACACCATGGACACATCGTGATTTCATTGCTACTTAAACGCTGTTTTATGGGCGATCCTTCCAGTTGGATAGCTATACAGAAATACATCTGAAAACTGGGACAAACTATGACTTTAATATAATTAATGGAATTAATATATAAATTAATGGAATTAATAATAGAAGAAATAGAAAAAAAAGTGACAAGGAATAATTTTGTATTGTTTGATTCTATGATCTGTTAGAGTTACAAAATTTAATTGTTTACTTTCCCATTAAATGAAATTTTTTTTTTTTTTTTTTGAGTAATTGATTTTTAGTATGATTTTGTATATAAAAGATTTTTAGGAAAGTCATTAGATTTGACATGATTAAAACTTAAGATTTTTCAAAATGTTTCATTTAATTTTGAATATTTTTAACAAATATTCAAACATTCCATATATTTATATTTTTTTATTTATTACATCGCTTTCTAATATAACTTAAGATTACAATAATAATAAAATAATATAAATTAATGTAAATATTTATTTTATTATTATTATATTTTATTATTTTATTATTATTTTATTATTATAATATTTTATTAATCAATAAATTCATATGATCTGATATCTTTAATTTGATATCTTAATTAATACTTAACTTAAACTCTCTTGAATTTTTCTCCTTAAAATTAAAGAATAAAGTATTTTTCAAGAAACTAAAATGCTTTTTAAATAAGAATATCATATTAAAAGTTTCTAAATTTTAATTTTTAATTAAAAATCTTAAATGATTCATATTATACTATATATGTATATATAGATATTTTTAGCTAAAATTAATATTAATTTATATTGAGAAGAAATGATTCTTAGATATTATATAAAAGTATATTTTTGTAGGAAATTGATATATGGAATTTAAACAAAATTTTATTTTGTTATTATAATATATTTTATAAGCATATTTTTTATTTTGCTATATTATAATATGTATATGTTTAAATAATTGTAAGATTAAATATTTATATTTAATTATAATATAAATAATTATTAATTATATATAATATAATTAATAAATATTTATTATTAATAATTAGAATATTTAATTGATTTTTATATTCCATAATTAAAATAAAAATTATAGAGATGAGAAGGATATAGGAAAATATATAACATGAAATATAACATGAAAATAAATAATATTTCATAGCAATTTCAGATTTTATAATTATAATTTAAAAGATCTGTTGAAAAACTATAGCTCATTTTTTATTAAAATATTTATATTTTTTCTATTTAATTTGTTGGAATTTTCATAAATCTTTTTAAAATTTTAAAATTTGATAAAATTATAAAATAATATTTTTAAGAAACAAATTAAAATTTAAATTTTGATCTTATTTATGAATGAAAAGACATCTCATCAGAATTTTTAGAAATCTCTTTAAAATTTTAAAATTTGTTAGCATTACAAAATATTATTTGTAGAAAAATAAAAAATTAAAATTAAAATTTTTATCTTATTTAATTTTTTTATGAAATGAAATAATAATTTAATTTCATTGAACGTTTTAAATATATTAAAATATTCATCATATGATAAAATATACATCATATAGATAAAATATACATCATATATAATATAATAGAATATTCATCTCAATATTCTATCGTTTATGTTGGATTTCTAATAGTAAATAAATATTTTTGTAGGTTGGCTGGCTAAAAGTGGATAGTAAGGCAATTCAGGCAATCCACGATCACGTAATAACTCACAACAACAGAGTCTCGGTATCTCATAGTGATCATACCATGTGGAATCTTCATATAAAGAATGTACAACAAGAAGACGAAGGACTCTATATGTGCCAGATTAATACAGATCCAATGAAAAGTCAAGTAAGTTCATACTATTATTATTTCAAAATTATTTTAAATTTTAAATTATTAAATATTGCAATTATAGATTTTTTGGTTTTTTTAATTTCAAAGATTTATGATAATTAATGGCAAAAATAATGAATAATAGTTTATAATTAATTAGTTTTATTGTTTTATTGTATTTGAAATATTAAAAAAAATTTAAATTTATTAAATAATTATAAATAATTTATTAAACATTATGAAAGATTAATATTCTTTAATTAAAATTTTAATCTTAAATACTATTGAAATAAAAAATGTCTCTTAAAAATGATGATTAAAATAATATATCATTTTGTTCATCTAAATATTATTTCAAACAATCATATATTATTTAATCATATTTTATTTGTTATTTATTCATTACAAATAAATGATTTTTTTAAATCATTTCATTATTTCGTTTTCAAATTCTTTTATTTTATTTTATTTTTTATTTAAATAATACCAAATAATTTCTCAAATATTTTTGAATTCTATTATATCTATTTTTGTGATGAGATTTTTTTCGTTTGTTATATTAATTAAATTATAAATGTCTTTTTAACAATGTAATTACATTGTAAAAGTTCTCAAATTTAAAGTTCAACCATTTATAATATTGGACAAATAAAAGTTAATTCATTTAAATAAAATAATTAGTAATATACTTCGTAATAATAATCCGTTATTTCAAATTATTTTACTTCAAATGAGTCTAATATTCGTATATCTAATATTTTTAGATTTTAATTACTTTTACGTATGAATGACACTTGATGATTCAAAAGAAACTAGGCTATTTGTTTAGGCGCAAATGGCTATCAGAGGAGTTAGTTACTTGCTGTTTTGAACGTTTTCAGTAACTAAGCGGTTGGAATCAGAGCTTTCTGCGCGTAGTTTAGCTGGTAGGACGAATCGTGGTAAGCCAAGAAACTTGGCGAAATAACTAATTGGAAACGGTACCACCAACACTATTTAGATCGATAAAGTTCTAGGATGCATATTGGTTTCGGAGCGCATCAATTCCAATTAGGTACTTCTCTCTACGATCTTTTACACGATATCAAATTCCTTTGCTATGATTAAATAAATCTATACATATATATTTCTTATTCATTGTTATGTAAAATCACAGAATTATGAGAAAACTAATAAAAAGATATATAAATGATTTTAAATATTACAAAAGAGAGAAATTATTGATAAAAATTTTTATATATTTTATATATTTTTCTAAAAAAAATAACTTTTATAAAATTTTTAGGAAATTAATTTTAATGCTTTTTATCAATTTTAATGGTAAAAAATTAATTAAATTATAATTTTTTATTAGTTTTTATAATTTAATATATTTTCCTACTAGGCTTTTCATTTATATATTTATATTTTTTTGAATTGCAACAAAAGAAAAAATGTAACTTTTATGAATATTATATATAAATATATATAAATAAAATTATTATAAATAAATAATATTATGTAAATTTATTATGTATGTATTTATATAAACGTAAATTTCATTTCGGGTTATATATAGATATGATGAAAAACAGTTAAATAATAAAAAATAAAAGAAAATTATATTTTCTTATATATATTTTTTTCTTTTTTATTTCAGTTAATTTTTTTTATTTTGAAAATATCCAATATTATTTATCATGTCATATTCTTTAACTTTAAATAATTTTAAATTATTTTTTTAATTATTATTACTTTAAATTAAAATATTTTTAAAATAGCATTTTAAATAGTAATTTTATTTTAGTTCATTTTATAAATTTTGAAATTAATTAATTTTTGTACATCTCAGAATTAACGATTTTTTTATATGTATCATTTTTCTATCAAATTAATTGCAGAAATCTTGTTTTACAATCATAGAACATTTTTTTAATTTTTATAAGAGAAATAGATATTAAATTATTCCATTTCTATAAAATAATTATTATTTGATATTTTATTTATCATTTACAAAGATATCAGTATAGATATCATATTTAGATATTATATTTATTTAAATATAAAATATCATATTTTTTATTTTAAATTTTTATTATATATTTATTTATAGAATTATTTATATTATGCAATATTAATTGAAGTATTCAATTTCACGATAAGACAAATTATTAACGTAAATTTATTTATCAATTCCTAATGATCGGCATGATGATAGTAGATGTTGTATTATTAGCTAAAATATGGAAATTTGCCAGTATTATCTACGGTGTTACAATCTCTGTAAGGTATCGAAGGCATTTCTCCAGAAGCTCGTAGAAGCACAACATACCAGGAAACTTAACAAGCCGTCTTCGCCAGTTCAGGAATGCCAATTCTCGCTCGTAAACAATTTCGAAATAACACTTAGGCTTCAATCATTTTCCTCCTAACGGAGGATAAGCTTTATTAGATGTTAGTTAACCGTCTCTTGCATTTTGATTAACAAATAGTTACTGAAATCCATTATAAGTCTTTCTGAATCCATTATATAGAATGAATAAAATAATTTTATCCAAAATAAAATATCTTTATTATTTTTAAAATATTAAAAATTACTTTTTTTCGCAGAAAAAATATTATAATAATAATTATAAAAAATATTATAATTGTTATTAATAACTTTTTGTAAAAATAGACATATTAGAGTTTATATAAAGATCAAAATTTCTTTTTAAATTATGTAATTTTTAAAGCATTAATTGATGCAATATATCTTTATGAGACTAATAATAATAACAATAATAATAATAACAATAATAATAATAATAATAATAATAATAATAATAATAATAATAATAATAATAATAATAACTTCTTTTCAACAAGAATTATTATTTTAAGAAATGTTTTACTTTTAAAATTTATTGTAAAACTTGTTATATAAAAGATATAAAAGATAAGAAGCACGAAACAATACACACTATATTGTTTTTATTATTTTTTATAAATTTTTGCAAAATACAAATTATAATATTACTTAAATTAATTAAGTTTCTATTGAAAATAGAATTAATATTTTTTTTAGAAAACAAAATGTCATTCAATTAATATATAAATAATCCATTTAGAAAGAATGATCATCTTCATATGACCTCCAAAAAAAAAATGATTAACACCAAGTTATGACTCTATTCTATATTATTCAATTCTATATTATTCAATTTCTTTGAAATATTTTTTCCTATCACAAAAACCAAATAAGATATTTAAGATTATGACTCATCAACTAAATCAAATCATACAATCAATCATCTTCAACCAATTTCTCAAAATTTCATTAATTTCCAATTTCTCAAATAATAAAAAAAAAATCCTTCTTTCATCATTCAAATGATACGAATACTTCAAGAAATAAAAATACAATCAATTCTTTGTTGCATTCTTATTAAAATCTTAGATTTTTTTTTAAAACTTTGGAATTTATATAAAATTAATAAATAGCTTTTTATTAAATTCGTTAAGTTATAATGTCTTTTCAATAATTTTAGCAGATGATGAATTATTTCATGGTATGCAAAATCATAGAATCGTTGGCACTTATGTTAAACGAAGTTAAATTTTGTTATTTGTGATCTGTGGCTACGAGAACAATGATCTAAATGCAAATATAAAAATTTATATTTTATCTATTCCACCAATTTTCTCTGTTCTTTCAAACGCGTGGAAAGCAAATAATCTTATAAAATTGACGAGTAACGAAACGACCTATTTCCTTTCCACGCTAAAAATTTCAACGCACTCATAAACAGAATTCATGATAGAATAAAATTTCACTCTTGAAAAAAAGAACACAATGCAATCGCAATTCAAATAAAAACAGTCAAAAAAAAAAAAAAAGAATATTCTTCGATTGATCTTTAACATCTATTTATAATTGGTACCAGTGTCATATTCTATAGTTTTTCTCGAAAGTAAAATTTAAAGAAGTTTTATATGTTATATATTTCAATATTTTCTATTTTTTTTTCAATTTTATTTTTAATAAAAATTGAAAAAATTAATAATTCATACATATTGTAATGTGAACTTTTCGTTCATAAACAATTTATAATTTATATTTGAAGACATCCATATTCTTAAATATAAAATTTATAAACAATATTGAACAATTATTCATTTTAAAAGCTCATTTTTCGTAATCTAATTAAAAATATTCAAAAATTAAATAATTAAAAATATTAAAAAAATCAAAGAATAAAACTATATAATATTATATATACTATATATATAAATCTATAATAAAGTTTATATAGATAAGTTTATATATTTGATCATTTAAAAAATATAAAAATATTAATAATAAAAAATATTAATAATAAATATTAAATAATATTATTTTATTTTTTATTGTTATCTATAAAAAAATCAGTTTTAAGTGATTAATTTTTTATAAAAATTATTTCTATAATGAAATTGTTTGTATTTAAATTCATAAAAGCATGAACTTGACTATGTCTTTTCAATATTTTATTTTCTAATAAACTTTCGTAATAAATATTCGTAATAATGATATTTTATCAATTTCATTAAAATTTTATAAAAATTTAAAATTTAATTAATTTTTTAAAAATTTTTCAAAAATAATATATAAAAATATTTAGTTATTCTAATTAATCAGATTTATTATATTTTAGATTCTTCTATATTAATATTTTATAATTTATTAATTATTATATTATAATTTAAAATTTTTTTATAATGTTTAAAAATTACATTAAAAAGATTATATATGATTTGTATATAGTCAAACTATTTTATTTTCAAATCTAAAATTGAAAAGATTTCTTTTTAATCAATCTAAAAAATCACATTTCAATTTAATTTATTACAAATATAATGCATTTCACGAACATCATTTTATATAAAATTTTTTCTCGTTTAAAAATCCTTTTCAAATCTTTCTATAATTAAATTCTTCACTGCTATAATCCTTCATTATACTACACAACTTTTTGCATTTTTCAGCAAAAATATGCTTCTAAAAGTAAAACCTG